GCTACTTTTCAGGGGCAGCATCGAAGTTGGGAGCATACCACCCCACTGGAAGCATAGAAAGCTGAGGACTGCTAGGTCTAATACCATAATATATCTGTCAAGAAACTATTGGAGTTGTAGAATATCATATACAACCATGGATCATCTCTGAAAACACAGATGTCGGTAAGAAGGTATAAGGGAAAAAAAAATCGACTTTAAATCGGTTCTACTTTTATTTATTTCAGTTTACTAAACTAGGGAGGGGGGCGATTCTTTGTAAAGGTGGAGGATTCTCTTTCTTACAATTTCTACTCCAAGTGTGGGTACTATGATTCTTTTTTATTGATGTAAATTATAACATAGCAATGTAACAACAATATAAGTGCAATACAACCAAGTAACACAGACATTGATGAAATACAAAAAGAATAATATTTCTGGCAACTTAAACTAATCTTTGCCATATGCCAATATGCCACATAATATTCTGCTTTGTAAAGGTGTTCTTTTGGGACTAGCTCAAAGTACAGAGAAAAAGTAAATAATTTATTGCTTGTTGGTTGTACAATAGCTCCAAGATAAGAACTGGGTAAAAGAGCTGTAATCTGATATACTACATAGAAAAAAAAGGAGGCGCAGAGTTAAGGTCAGGATCAGAAACAGTTAACAAACAATTGACAAATGAGTTGTAAATTAATAATAACTAGTAGCAGAGTAAATGTGGAAACTGGATGAACCTGGCAATGGGTCATGGTAAGTGTGTAGACTATGACTAATTGCTTTCATTAGGAAACTTACCGGTGTGGTCATTGCCAATGACACATTACTTATTTTCCCCTACACCTAGTAGAGGTTTTAAATTACAAACATCAAATCATGTACGATTAATTGAGAAACATATTTATTGCTTAAAAAAGCATTGTAATGTGATTGTCAGAGGCATGAAGTTGTTATAATAAATAAATCAGGCAGATAGTGTTGGTGGTAGTCCTTGTGGCAATTTTGTACTAGTTCACCTGATCTAGTAGGAGCCCATGGATGGAGTAGAGACCATAAGATCCCCATATTACAATAAGGGAGGTTTGAAACCTATCTATGCAGGTGGGGGCTTATCTATGATATATTTAAAAATAGCAACTGGGCATCAGGTGGGGGACTTGAAATTAAAGGACCACTCTAGGCACCCAGACCACTTCAGCTTAATGAAGTGGTCTGGGTGCCAGGTCCTTCTAGGGTTAACCCATTCTTTTATAAACATAGCAGTTTCAGAGAAACTGCTATGTTTATGAATGGGTTAAGCCTTCCCCCTAATCCTCTAGTGGCTGTCTCATTGACAGCCACTAGAGGCGCTTGCGTGATTCTCACTGTGAAAATCACATTGAGAACACGCAAGCGTCCATAGGAAAGCATTGATAATGCTTTCCTATGCAACCGGCTGAATGCACGCGCAGCTCTTGCCGCGCGTGCGCATTCAGCCGACGGGGAGGAAAGGAGGAGGATTGGAGCAGGAGAGCTCCCCGCCCAGCGCTGGAAAAAGGTAAGTTTTTACCCCTTTCCCCCTTCCAGAGCTGGGCGGGAGGGGTTCCCTGAGGGTGGGGACACCCTCAGGGCACTATAGTGCCAGGAAAACGAGTATGCTTTCCTGGCACTATAGTGGTCCTTTAAATGGCGGCCAGTGGGTTGGGGCTCTTGAATGTTAAAAACGGGGGAATATCCTTATTTCCCCTCCGCCTTCACCCATGATGATCAGCAGGTTGGGGTTACTAATTAATACGAAGTGGGGACATAGTGTTTCAAAGTTTAAAAACTGCGCATACACACTGCAGGCACCATGACTACTTCAAATCCCTGATGTGATCATGGTGCTTGGAGTAACCCTTTAAGCTTCAGGAGACGTGAGAAACGTGATTGTGTGTTCATACAGCAAGCCGATCACTTGTCAATATAAGAAGTTCACAGTGTGAAGGGATATATTCTTATAATAGTGTAAAATTATAGTCTACGTTCTAACGTTTTCATGAAAATGACTCCTGGCACCCAGTGAGTGTGTCATAGAAATGCTACGTGGCATGATACTGACAAGTGCTTTATTTTCACTGCTTGTCATCCAGATGGCATCAAAGGTGTGACCTCTAATGTGTGGAATAGGCGGGTGTCTAGTAACTGTACAAATGCATTGATCTGCTTTAAATATGCTGTTTCCTTATTATTTAGAAAGTGATGCTACATTAGATAATGCTCTGGTTCAGGTGAACTAATATATATATCTAAGTGAATATATCCTTGCACTCACCCTTAAAAGTCCTACTGCCTTCATGCAGTGGTGTAGTTGCCGGTTGCCAGTCCTTTTTGGGGATCTTGATGTATACAGATAAGTCACTTTATCCTGAGGAAGGTCCCTGCGTGGACCGAAACGTTGATTGTCTTGTATTATGGAATAAAGCACCTTTTTGAGATTTGAAACCCGAGAGTGCAGCCTGTATTTTTGCTTAACTAATATATATATATATTTTTAATTCTTTATTTTTGTTGTGCACATATAACAGTACACGCTTATCTTGCCACAACAGCATTAGCACGCATAAGAATCCCATATAATTGGGGGCGGGGCCTAGCCACCGATCAAGCCGGTCGCACATGGAAAGAGCTCCAAGGAGAGACCAGCCAAAAATCGACATTTAGCTGACAAATGACAACAAAATAAAAAATCTCGACGCAGCAGAGCATTGGGGATACCCCCAAGACTCAACTGGGTGGATTTCCGCGACCGGAGAAGCAGTCTCCAACCGTCGACAAATGGCGGCCTGCCAGCAGCTGCAAACCAGGGAGAGGCGGACGATCTCCCTGCAAGCAGTATTGCAGGACAACATCAAAGCGTCTGGGACCCCTGTCTCCCCCCCAGCCGGTGGGGGTTATCCCGGCACAAGCATACAGGCTATACCCCCAGGCAAGCTGAGGCACCGAATACCCCATCTATTTCTGTGGCCTGCGCCCAGCTCCACCGCTGAAATCAAGATGGCGGCGGAGGCACCTGTGACAGCAACACAAGGCCCGCAAGCGACACTCGAGGAACGGCTAGATACGCTGTTCAGCAACTTCTGGCGGATGCTGCAGGACAGAGAGGCACAGGCTAACAGGGAGCAGAGGAGAAAAAGCAAACCTCTTGTCCCTCCTGCCTCCCTGGCAGACAAGCGGTGGCAAAAACCCATGGTTCCCGGCACTGTGCAGCAGGGGAGACAGATGACCCACTCACCAGGCACCCGCTCATATCCCAAACGGACCAGAGCTCGTAACAACCTTCCTGGGCAGAGGGCCCAAAGGAAACCTCCACTCCAAGGGAAACACGTCATCTTCCGAGTTCCCGCTCGCGGCTGTGAGTCTGAACGATGGGGTGGGAACCACACAAGGGTTCCTAGAAGGGTCCGGCAGGACAAGCAACCGAGGATTCTCACCTCTCCGGGTACTCCACCAAGCACACAGCTGCACCAGCCTCACGTTGCTCCGCTGGACCGTAAACCAAGCTGCTGTCCAAACCCATCAAACGGGCCCACACACCTATGTGCACACACAGAGAGGATGGTCCACACTGACGCGGTGAGCCGAAGAGGAATGCGGGAAGAAACACACTACCCTGCAAATGGGTCTGGACTGTGCCAGACAGCTATGGGCATAGGCTGAGTGGGACATGCAATGGGGGGGTCACTGGACACGCCAGAGCATCAGCCTGTTGTCCCCTCTCACACACAGCACTGCTCTCTAGCTACTGCATGTGATTTTAAAATCTGTTTTATGCCTATATTCATATTTCTCCAATTCCATCTGATCCCACTAACCCTCAGCGCCCAGTAACTAAAATGTCTGATGGCCTCCTTTCCTTAAGCGATGTATAGTACCCAGGTATAATTAGCATGTGCAGTATTAGCATACAACTTTAATGATTGTGAAACTACTTCACTAAATACCTGCACCAGGTTACCATGTATAATTTACTTACTCTGTACAACAGGTTAATTCGTATTCAATGGCTAACTAGTCTCATATCGACTAACTGGTAGCAATAGTTTGCACGGGTAAAGCCTCACACCCTACTAAGCCTAACCTTGCTACAACAAGCATATACACTCATATGGACTACTAGGCAACAACTACATTAGGTTTAACCAGCAAATGTAACGCTTTCTGGGTCCACAAATAGTTAAGGCGCAGCAAGGTAGCATATTAATACATACTAAGCAGTTAAATAATCTAACTACACTAACTTGATCTAAGAATTTGCATTTTGCTACAATATTCACTGTACTGTTATAAACGTGGCCTCAGTAAAGTTTTAGTATGTTAATAATTCTACATTATAGTTACATAAACGAGTACCTACACTGTTGAAATGATGATCTCAATTACTTAAAAATGTGCCTGACTAACAAATGCCACAACCTGTATTGCAAATGTATTTCACCTTACCCTGATGTCGCCGTTGTGGCGCACCAAGGCTATTTGTCAATTTTGTGCACAACAAAAATAAAGAATTCAAAAAAAAAAAAGAATCCCATATAATTGAGAACAGTGTGGCTGTGAGACTGCACAATTCTTATATTTTGTAGGAGAGTATGCTTTAGTGATAGTATGAAGGGATGCTAGAAGGCTTGTGTTAGGCTTGGTGTCTGACTGTGTTTGAGGTATAACATAAGGTAAAAGAAACAGGCTATTAAGTAAGTAGAGCACTGTGTAACATGCTAGAGTATGTCAAAGATAGTTTGCCAGGCAGCACTGTTAGTCTAAAGAAACAAAAGAAAGGAAGAGGGTCTACCTAAATGACAAGAGATAATAACCCCTGGATTGCCTGTTAATACATGAGTGTCAACATATTAAGTAGGTACCGCAAGCATTGCATGCGTGTTGTGAGCGTTTCTGGGGGCTGCTTAGCCGATGCCAAGAATTGGGAGGCTTTAAATGCATAATAGCCAGAGTCCATGTAGCCTTGTGTGGGGGCCCCACCAGCCATGGGTACCGATGCGCTCCTATGTTGTTCCGCCTGGGCTCCGATACGGACCATCAGTTGGCTCATGGCTACTGGGTCCTTTTGGTGCGTGCGGCAGATGTCTCTGAGTGGGAACCCTCCGACAGCGCGACTTGCGCACATAGATGCGGCCCCAACCAGAGTGCCGTGTTGTGGAGCTGCTGTGGAGTGGCATGGTAGGCTGTCGGCCCTGCTGATTTGGCCGCCGGACCCGTTTCATCCTCTTCCCTTTCAGGACTCTGCATGGGGTGCGTATCGGGTGCTTCTTCTGATCTTTGCTTCTAACAGGCATGGGCTGAATCTGGATGCGCTGATCGTTTGGTGAGGCATTTGCTTGTCTGCTTGCCACCTTTGCCCAGAATTGGGCATAGATTCTGTCGAATGCTTGCATCCATGGCTCTGCACCCAGAGGCTTCTGGTGGTAGGCTTGTGCTGGGGCATCCTCTTGGAAGGCAGCCATCTTGCCTAATATGCCACAGTCTCCGGTGTTGCGGATGATTTATAAAGTCCACAAAAATAAGTCTGGGGGCTCTCCAGTGGGGACCAGGATAACCACCACTGGTCCAGGGTGGGGCAGCGGTATTTCGGGGTCACATGTACAGCTGAAGAGTGAGGAGGGCGGCCGCCACTCCCCGTCTCTGTCACGAGTAGGCCTCAAATCTCTGTGTCAGGCTATTGGTGTCATAAAGTCGCTTGTGAGTTATCCTGAGGACCACCAGGGCTCCCTCTGTTAAGAACACGCACAACTGCACTTAGCTCTGCCATTAGGTTGGCAATGTATCCGTTTTATCAGTGTCAAATGCGAGCCAGCACAGCATGCGTCTGGTCCGCTCAGCAACCAGGCTCCGCCCCCCAGGTTAATTAATATTTTGAATGTGAAATCACAAAATACTTTATTCGAATTACTAATATATTAATATTGATAAATACATGTGTCTGATCAATGTAATACGATTAAAATTAACTGAATTCTGTACGGTTTAATTTTCTGTTTTTCCAAACATTAGGGAGGAATTAGCACTTCTCAGGAAGGTATCTAATTGTATAAAACATTAAAAATCACCTATAGCGTGTGAGCGTGTAAATTTCGCAATTGCCATAACAATGCAGTTGCCAGCCAGGGTACACACTGCAAATAAGAAGAAATAAAAACCTGGCCTGTCAGGTGCAAAAGACTGAGCTTATAACAGTGACTGACAGTAAGCTAAGATGGAGGGGTCCAGTTGCCGGATAAAGCAATGTGGATTTCTACATTTAAGTTTTGTTAAAGGAACACTACAGTGTTAGGAATACAAACACATGAGACACATAGATAGGCTTTGGGGAGAGGAAATGAGACACATGGAGGGGCTTTGTGGGGAAATGAGACACTTGGGGGGAATGAGGCACATGGAGGGGGTTGGCATGGAAATTAGATATTGAATTAGATATTGAGACACATGGAGGGGCTGGGGGGAAATTAGATACATGGAGGGGCTGGTGGGGAATGAGACATAAGAAGGGGATGGGGGAATGAGACACATGGAGGGGCTGGGGGAGGGAATGATAGACATGGTGGGGCTGGGGTAAATGAGACACATAGAGGGGTTTTGTGGGGAAATTAGACACTTGGGGGGAATGAGGCACATGGAGGGGGTTGGCAGGAAAATTAGATATTGAATTAGATATTAAAACACATGGAGGCGCTGGGGGAAATGAGACACATGGAGGGGCTGGTGGGGAATGAGACATAAGAAGGGGATGGGGGAATGAGACACATTGAGGGGCTGGGGGAGAATGATACACGTGGTGAGGTTGGGGGAAATGAGACACATGGAGGGGCCTGTGGGGAGGGAATGATACACATGGTGGACCTCGGAGGGGAGGGAATGAGATAAATGCATGAGACAAATTAAGTTGCTTGTGGGGGGACACATGGAGGGGCTGGGGCGGTGGCCCTGCGCAATTTGTGCACCGGGCCCAGTGATTTCTAGTTACGCCTCTGTGCAGCAAAATGACAATCAAATATGCTCAATGAGAATCTATCTAGCTATTGTCTGGAAATATACATGATAAATCAATGTGACTGTTTTATAACTATTATATGTTTTCCATATATTTTAAGTACCTGTGATGTACAATGATATATTTGATTTGATATTAATTATCCGGCTTTGACCATATTACAAATATTATGTGGTATGCAATGTTAATCTTTAAAATGTTCTACAAGTTCATATATAAATCGTTTCTTTAAAACAGGTTTTTAAATTTATTTCTCAAAAAAGGAGTCTCCGGGGTAAATTACTCTTTCTGGCTTTTTGCATGAGTTAACTACAATAGAGGTATGCACTGCACTTTTTCTCAATTAACTTCCCATTCATTCACAAATTCAGTGTGCCTCACCTTGGAATGAGACCCTTAATTCTTCAAAGCGTCTGTGTGACCTGCTGCATTTTCCAAGTAATCAAAGAAACAAAATATGCCGAGATTAAACCCAAAGGAAAGAGAGCTATCTTGGAATTTACTGGCAAAAATAAACATTGTCACTTACTGACACACAGAACTGCAGCGTTTTGTTTCAAGCAACAGACCTCTAAAAAAGTCAAGATATCATAACCAGATAACCTTATTTTCAACAAAGTGGCCCTTTTAGATATTTTATCTAAACAAGACTTAACCAGGCTGATGGACAAAAGAAACATTGAATGCACATCAGACAACTAACAGTCTTTCTAAATACTGAAAAAAAAAAAAAAAGAAAAACACACACACACAAGCACAGAAAAAACACACAGAAATGTGGTTAATAAAGATGATACATCAGTGACAACTCTGACCTGTATGTTATAAGGTCACCCGGGCTGTATTCTCATAGTAAATTGTCTCAGCAACCACAAATATACTTTTGGACAACTGAATTTTAAAAAGCCGTTTTTGCAACAAAGAACAATTGTCTAACTATTAGAGAACCCCTACTTTATTTTTTACACTGTTTTAGAAATGTCGGATAAGTGTTTATGGTTGTAACATGCTGCATATTGTTCTGAGTTAAATTTTGAACAAACAAACAGTCTGAGAATACATATGTAACACCATTTTTCTACACTAGGGGCGCTGCAGAATATGCATTTAAATCAACTAAATAATATAGCTTTCTTCTCAAGTGGACGTATACTGCCGTATTTTCCAAAATTGACTTCTAAATAATAGATTTTGCTATTGCCCTACTTAATGACATCCATTTAATGCAGCCCAGAATATCTGAGTTTACCCTACTGTTGATTCATTCTGCAAAAGAAGATATAAACAAATAGTACTTTTGGCACATTAACCAAATTACGTATTTCAATTTAATGGGTGACCCAATGAATCAGGTATTATTAAGTACATTTTTGTGCTTTCGATTTTAGCCTTAGGCTAACGTGTTAGAATTAGACAATGCTTCTCCGGCATATTATTTTTCTTCTATCTGCTCAAATGCTGCACGTTTTGGAGATTCTCGTTTTCATTTTTCTTCCATGTTTTTGATTGGCCACTTTGTTCCTGCCTGACATTTTGCTGTTTGCAAAACTTCATGTTCACCACTACAAATGAAAGCCCCCACTGGCCACCAATATCCCAAGGGGTAAACCTGCAGATGAAGGTGGTCATTACTGTGAAGAACTAAATTAAGTTTGTGTCTTCTTTTCTGCTTCGGGAACATATTTTAAAACATATGCCACCATTACGCTTTGTTTAAGTCACAAGCGCATCCCCTGGGTGAGTTAGGCTTTGTGATACATGGACAGCACCAGTAAGAAAATAATGGCTATTCGTGCAAGTCATATTCATTAATAAACCATTCATTTCATATGGTCAAAAAAAAAATGTACATTCGGGTGACTCAAAAATATTTTGCCTCTTGCTTAAAGGACCACTCTAGGCATCCAGACCACTTCAGCTTAATGAAGTGGTCTGGGTGCCAGGTCCAGCTAGGGTTAACCCATTTTTTAATAAACATAGCAGTTTCAGAGAAACTGCTATGTTTATAAATTGGTTAAGCCTTCCCCCAAAGCCTCTAGTGGCTGTCTCATTGACAGGCGCTAGAGGCGCTTGCGTGATTCTCACTGTGAAAATCACAGTGAGAGCACGCAAGCGTCTATAAGAAAGCATTGATAATGCTTTCCTATGCGACCGACTGAATGCGCGTGCATTCAGCCGATGGGGAGGAACGGAGGAGGATCGGAGGAGGAGAGCTCCCCGCCCAGCGCTGGAAAAAGGTAAGTTTAACCCCTTTTCCCCTTTCCAGAGCCGGGCGGGAGGGGGACCCTGAGGGTGGGGGCACCCTCAGGGCACTATAGTGCCAGGAAAACGAGTATGTTTTCCTGGCACTATAGTGGTCCTTTAAGTAATTTCTGGTACTGCAGTGCTATTTTATTCAAGGCTATTCCTTTAAGTCATATGCAGTTTGTCAAAAATATCCAATGTTAAATTCAGCAAAGACTCGAGAGTTAAAAATTAAATTTCAAATTTTAGGCCGAATTGTAAAATATGTTCTAAGTCAACAATTTTTAGTTTGTCTTTTTTGGCCTAGTGTTTGAAATTCACTTTAAATTCCTGACAATTCATATTTTATTAAATGACGCTGACAGAAAGACTGAGGTTGTGCAGGGAGTTTCTGTATCCATGAGTCCTACCAGGGAAAGATTTAAAGCCCAGTGGGCCTGTTGCTGACAACTATGATGGAGCCTAATTAGAGAATCTTATAGACCAAAATAGGAAAACAGTCATACCTTGGAAGCATCACCTATCTGATGGAGATGGTGCTGGGGGGAACTTATAGGATATAGCTATCAGAAAACATATACCCTATGCTTCATACTCCCTAACAGCAGTGTCCGGTAAAGCAGGTAATCAATGGGCTGGGTAAAATGGTGGGCCACTAACGCGAAAAACGTAACCAGAACTGACAAAAGGGGCGAACATGCCCAAAAAGATGGCATGTCTGCTCAAAGAATTGGAAGGCCAACCTGACATGAATGCATGCCAGGCTGCGTGCCAATCATTGCAGGCTGGCTAACTAAGCATATACTTCTATTAACTACTATGCAGACAGCATCCTGAGCTTGGCATAAATGTGTTTAATGATGCGCTCACTCCTCACTTTCTAAGGGCTGACCCCTAGCACTCACATGTCCACTTGTCTCCTTACCTTCTTACTAGCAAGCTTCTAGTATATAGTCTGAGACAGAAAAAAGGTGTACGTTGTGTAGTGTAAAAGAAAGGGAACCTGCCACAGTGTAGCAGAGACCAAAGTCAGCATTACCTTAACTAATTTTATAGTCAGCTAGTCCATACAAGTTTTGTTCCCATACATCCCTCTTAAGTTTCCATACTTAAGCAAGAGTATATGAAGAGTAGTGTGTTGTTAAAAATTTTTTTAAATTGATGGGCCTATTGCAGGGGTTCTCAACCCAGTCCTCAGGACCCCCTACCAGT